GGAAGAGCATTATAACCTAGTCAGTGCTCAGTGTGGATTCCTTTGGATTTTTCCTTTACTGCACATTCACTTTGCATGCATGCTTTCTAAATTCACATTTTTGGTGTTCATGAAGAGTGTTAATTCAACTCACGGGTTCTTCCATAGCAGTAATCTCCTAACTGTAGTAGAAGAAAGATGGAGCAGAGAATCCTGAGTAGAATTAACTTTTCCTATGCAGCCATGAAAAACACACTGGCAAGGCAGTGTTTCATTGCAGATGTGTAGTGGTTGTTTCACTGAACACTCTTCTCTCCCCCTCCTGCCTTTTTCCTTCAGCCGAGTCCACGACGGGCAGAGGCCGCTATACGAAGCGGATTCGTTACCATGGCAAAGGCATGTTTGGCATCATGAAGATCGTCAGGTGCCATTACTTTGTGAAGCTGGTGGAAGGTCCCCCTCCTCCTCCAGAGCCACCAAAGACTGGCTTTGACCAAGCGAAAGAATACGTGCAGCAGCTGCGGAGTAGAACCCTTGTTAATACACTGTGACAAACTTTTGTGACTATATAGGTATTTCTTGTTTGAAAATGTAATTATGTAAAAGAATACTTAATGGTTTAGTTGTGTCTTTGGTACTGCTGGAGCTGGATGATGTAAGAATGGTCATAGGCTTTTTTCCTTACTTGCCAGGCCATAGGTATGGAAAAGTCTTGGAAAAGCAGCAACAGATGTTACTTTTTCTGAGTTATTTGGACCACAGCATTTAAGCTCTACCCTGGACTATCAGATCTAGAGTATACGGTGCTGTTATAAAGCTTGACAGGAGCTGAGGTTGTCCTCACATTCATGCAGCTGTCTCAGTTATGTACTGTTGGGTGTTTTATTGTAAAAACATGTGCTTGACAGTCCTGTTGCAAGATCAAGACTTACACTAAGATTGCTAAAATTTGACATCTTAAAGTAGCAACAACAATGGAACAAAACAAGTAACAATAATAGTTGAGATTATCAGGCATCAGTTTATGGTTTGTTTATCTGGGCTGTCACGCTTTTTCCTTACAGTCCCTGCTGTGTATCTTGGGCATTGTGTCTGGGAGTGGGGAATAAAAACCCATGTAAAGTTCAGGGTTTGTCAGTCGGTAGGTGGCAATGTTTAGTTTGGCTGAGAGGGAAGTGGCAGTGAAAACTTAAAGCATATTGAAACTCTCGTCTTGATTCTGACCATGGCATTAACAGTCTGGTATGTGCATGGGGTTCAGGTTGTTCTCTGGAAGCTCAGTGTGGGCAACAGGCCCACAGGTATGGAGAAAAGCTTGTTTGCTGAAGAGTGAACTAGTGGTTCTGCCCTGTCTGGAAACAAATTGCTTTTGTAACGTTGAGGCAAGTAAGATGCTTCATGGATTTAATACGGAATGGCTTGTTGCATGTACAAATCAGATCTCTGAAAATAATCCCATTTTTATCATCACTCCTTTGAAGAGGAAAATGTCTGAGGTCAGTAGGGGGGAATCTCTTTTCACACAGTCACATTTTCAACTCAGATGGCCAGAGATCATCAGGATAAAAACATCAGCATAAAATGACATGAGCATAAAAAGAATGAGTAGTTGCTTGTGGATGTAAATGTCTGCGACCTAGACCTTACTTTTCCATTCTGGGAACATTAGAATGTGAGATAAATTGCTTACCTCATTTGGGTCTCTTTACCACACCAACTAGTGGTAGCTTTTCCTATAGGTGTTTTCTTTGATCAGTACTTGAATGATGACAAAGGGACAGTTCCTGTAAGGAGACAATTTATCTTTGTTGTCTTAATGAAGGTGGTATACAGCTGTTTCTTTTGGCTACCAGACAAAGGGTCTCACGATGTTAAAGAGTGATTGTGAAGTTGCACAAGCAGTACATGCATAGCTCAGGATAGTTCATGGGTGCATATTTGCAGTCTGGTTTTCTGCAGTGCATTTCCAGACACATTACCTGCTTTAAAGCTCCGATTTAGTAACTTTTGTCTGAAAGGTATGTTCCTGATAAAACTCTATCTCTGCAGTCCCTGATGGGGGATTGAAGAACTGTTTCTGTTGTGCTGTGATAAACAGCTCTGCTTTGCTCTGCCAGCTGCTGTTAAACTCTTTTGTCATACTGAATCTCTTACAAGTTGTAGCAAACTTAAATGACTTAATCTTTTTTTGGAGTCAGTGATCTGGGAGAAGGCTAAGGAATTGCAAAATAAGCCAAGCTTAATAAGCACTTGTCATCTAAGCAAGTAGTATCTGGCTTCTAGATATTTCATTCCTGTGCCTATTTCTCCTGCATGCTGTAGATTTTGCTTAGGTCCCTTCTGGACCTCCTGACAAGGTTGTGTCCATATAGGTATCATTGCTCTAATTATGAATCTGCAAGAATGTCACTGATGTCTTTCCCAGCTTGTTTATTATGCAGCAAGTGGCCCTGACCCTCCTTTAAATAAACAGACCCTGCTTTTAAAAACTTCCAGTCAAAAAGCAAGGTTGTTACTTGTAATCCTTGTTTTCCTTGTCAAAACACTTAAGTGGGAAGACTCTTATGACGTGCTTTTCAACATTCTTTTTACTCTTTAATACCCCTTTCTGCCTTCTTAAAGATGCATAACCCATTGTGGATCCTTATGGTGCTGGCTAAGGAAGCTCCATGGTCGTGTCAGTAACATACAAAGATGGGAGACTTGGTGAGATGAGGGGCTTCAACTGGCTGTCACTGGTGTCTGAAGTGATTTCTGTGATAGGAGCATCAGAACATTGGTATAGAAACCTGTCTGGACCTTTATAAAACTCAGTAAGATCTAGAGATAAAGCTTTATACTGTCAGGTTCTGTATATGAATAAAATTTGGGGGTTTTGATTCTACTGTGCTTTCTTGCCAAGTGATACATCTACACTTCAGTTAAGTATTCGATACGGATTCAGACAGAAAATTCCATGCAAACTGCAACAAGTCTTTAGCAGATGATAATTTATTACTGTGACCTCCAATAAAAGAACATTCTTAAATGAGCCGTCACCAGAAGGGAGGGAGAGTGGCACCTCTACCTGATGCTGATTTCATAGGTGACGTCTGGGGGCACTGTAAACTCACTGCTTGTGTATGTATGTGCTGATGTCAGAAGCTGGAGAAGGAGCAAGTATGCGTGAAGGTGTAGCAAGGCTTCAGGGAAATCTGAAGAGAGCAGCACTGTGAGCTGTGCTCAGCAACGTGAGATTTAATTGAGGAAAACCTAACAAGCCCAACAGCAGGTTTTCACAAGCATTTTAAAGCATCCAGCGAGAAAGCTGAAGTACTTTTGTCAGCCTGATGGCTTTTTGGATGTTTTGTTTATTTTTTCTTCCTTTTTGAAACTTCTAGGCAGTTACTGGGGTAGTTCATCAAAGGTAAAGAAAGACTCATAGTTATAAAGTGGTCATCAGCCTCTTGCCAAACGTGGAAGATAAATGTGATAGTGACTGGACAGTAGGAACATCTCATTCTGTTCAGGTCTGTACTGGAAACTGCTGGTGTGAGGTGGACTGCATTAGGGCTTGGGTGGTACCTGGGCACAGACAGGCATCTTCTGCCCAGTGCTTCAGCTGTGTCACAGCATGAACTTGTCTAGAGCAAGGTCACACAGCACAAATCTTCCCATTACTCCTGTTTGCACGAACAGAAGGTGTGTAACAGCACTGCCACCGCATTGCGGACTTGCTTGGGCAATCCTTCACTCACTGGAGTGAAGGAACAACAGGAATCACTGTTTGCTTTCTGCCAGTCCCTAAGAAAATTCACTGCTGCGATGCTGGAAAGTCGTTTGCAAACAAAATTCTCCTTTAAATAGAAATAAGGTTACTCCTGATATCCTCAATGAACCATAGGAACAAAGCGTGACATTCTTCACCGTATGAGCTACAGTCCTGTTGAAAATGCCCCTATTTCAAGCTTTTCAAAGAACAAGCAGTTATTGCTGACTGACATCTGTCCAGCTGCACTTCAGCCATGTCATCTAAAATAGTTACTAAACAAACAAGAGACTGTAATAGCAATAATAATCACACAAGTTACTGTTTGCTGGAGCCTTACCTAGGGAAAATAACTCGAGAGAAGAGCTTCAGGAACTGACTTTTGAGTACGAGGCTGAATTAAGGAACAAGGTATCTCTTGGGAGTAGTCAGCAAATGCAGAGATAATTTTGTATTTGCTCTATAACATCAACACTTTTTGTTTCAGGGAAGTTATATGCTAATACAGAGGGCAGGCTGCCATTGAAGAGAATGAGCCAAGGATAGCATAACTTTATATTGGGCAGATTAAGCATCCACCTCAGATACTAGTTGAGGAAATGAAGCTGAAAGTCTGTGGGATACACTTGAACAGAGCATTCTTGAAACTAAAGGTGTGGAGCAGAGCACCTGAGTAACTACTGCCTCTGTGGGTGCTACTTCTGTGTATTGTGCAGGAGTTTTGTGTGGTAAAATGGATTTTTCATACATGGACCTAGATTCGCTCCCTTTTTTTCTCTCCAAAAATAACGAAATGGAGGCTTAAACCATATTTGTGTTCATATGATATCCTTACTTAAAGCATGAAGTCACCTGTGTCTCTGTCTTAACACTACTGGAAATCCAGCCACCTCTCTGATAGCCTGTGCTAGTGCTATGCTACTTTCCCTGTGAGAACTTCCTACAAAGCCCAGCCTGAGCCTCCCGAGCTCTGTTCTCCTTGTCCTTCATTCTATTGCCTGGTGCTACTGCGAAGTGGTTGACTATCCCACTGTGACTCTCCTGTTGCTCTCAGATCACCCTGCTAATGACCTTTTTGGCAGGATGAACAAGCTCAGCTTCAACCTGTCCTCATAAATCTCATTCTGTAGCCCTTGTCCTTTACCCTCTCCACTTTCCCTGTCTCTATTGCAGTGGGGAACCTAAAACCAGACTCAATGTTCCAGGTACAGCTTCAGCAGCACTGATGAGAGGGAGGTAACTTCCCTTGGTTGTCTGGCCATGCTTTTAGTGGAGCCAAGTATGCAGTTTGCTTTAACTGTGATGAGAGCAGGTTGGCTCAGATTCAGCTTGATGTTCATGCAAGTCCCAGGTCCTTTTTAGGCTGCTCATCAGAACTGTGCTAAGTACCTGTGGCAGCTGTGTTCCAGCTCTTGTTGCTTTCCTGTGTACACTAATGAGGACTCCTTTATCACTAGGAAATTGTTCTGCTATGTGTATGATAATTGTCTTTCCTAATAGAAAAGTTGCAAACCAGTTTTCTGGCTTCTGTTATTAATCAAACTCTCAGGCTAGCTAAGAGTGGAGTAAAGGCATTTATACATGCTATTGTGGTGAACTCCATCAGGGTATGCAGCTAACAAGCAGTGAAATGTGTCTACACCTCTCCTATTGATTATCTCTTCCAGAGCAAGACAAACATGGGCCCTTACTGTGTGCTGGCCATGTAAATTAAAACCTTAATTAAATGAAACCAGAGTGGACCGTGAGGTGCACTGCACTGGGCCATAAAAGGATTGATGTTCAAAACCAGCTCTTCGAGCTGCCCCCAACTACTTGCCTTCTTTTTTTTTTTCCCCACTTAAAATAGTGCCCAGTAGTGCCTCAAGATGAACTCA